CAATATGCAGCCGTAAATTTTAAAGATAAAGGCAGCCAAATTTTGTTGCTATTTTGGTGCATAATTAAGGTGACGGGTGGCAAATCTTCCGATAAGTAGAAGATGAGATCGAAGAGGAATGGAGCAGCAAATTGAGAGGAAATTAAAAGCAATGAGTAGAGAGATAAAATTATAAAGAGAGAAATATTGTCTTCTCCTCCATGTTTCCTACTTAGTTTCTCCTATTACAAGTGAGATTAATTGTTGTTATATCCATGTATTTAAATAGTGTTATTGTAGTTCTCCTACTATAGTGAAGCCCTCATATACTTGTCCGTGGACGTAACTTAAATTGGGTGAAGCAGGTAAATATTTGTGTCTATTTTTGCTGCATTTTCTCAATTCCATTTTCGTTATAAGCCAAACTTGACCCCATGAGTTACTAACATAAATAAGGAAGCAATTTTAAACACCATTTGTGGTTCCATTAATACAATGCAAAGCTTTCCCAAAATCCAATAACAGTGGCTGACTATGTAAAATAAAACTTTGTTGCAGGTACTATTTCGAAACAATACTACGTAGAGAAGAAAACTTATCAATCAAGATATGTGATATAGCATGATATCTTGACTACTATGATCCTTTTGAACAATCACTTTCAAGATACAACAATCAAACCATTTGTACAGCAATCACAAATGATATTCAGAACCCTCAAGTTATACTCCAAAATAATATCTCAAAAAATAGAATAATATGATTATTGAATTTTTCAGATATTACAGAAGTAGAAGAATGATTTTCAGTGTGCCTTTTTTTTCCAAGAAAATGTAGGGATTTATATAGTTGCAGAAATTATAACTTCCACCAAGAATAAGTTTGTATTGAATAATATATAACCATGATTTCTAGTGCTACGGTAAACAATTTTTTGTGTGTGTAGTTAAAAATAATTAAAATTATTCTCTCTTAAATTAAAGAATCGATTACACATTTCTTCCAAAAAATTAGGTGAATAGATAATTAAATATATAATTAAATAAATTAAGGTCACAATTTATCTTCCCAGTTACGTACTAATCACAATTACATAACGTCACAGTGTCAAATCACAAAGTTATAGGTCACAATTTATTTATCGAACACAATTTATCAAATTAATTGGTCGCCACTTTTTTTTTGTTTGTTTTTTTTTTTTTGAAAACACAAATTTTATATGTTACAACTTATTTTATGGTCAAAAATTATTAAATTAATTGATTACAACTTATTTCACAATCATAAATTATGAAATTAATTAATCGCAATTTATTTATCAACCACAAAACACACAAATTGTAGGTCATAATTACAAATTTAGTAAGAAATCACATATTTTTTAGGTTACATATTATTTATTGGTCAAAATTTATTCGTTTTATTGATCATAATTACTCAATAGTTGATCACAACTGCTCTTTATCCAACCCATTTCATCCCAACATCACCAAAAATCACCAATCTCACCTCACTACCAGATGGAGTGACGAAATTTGGTTGAGTGAAAATTTCACCAACCAAATATATTTATGAAAATAAAAATCTCAACCTTTTTTTTGTCACCCCATCAATATGTGAAAATTTTGTAAATGGTGATGTACAAAAAGTATTTTTTTTCTATATTAAATATACTTGTTTTTTGATTAAAAAAATAAATTAGAATAACTGCATTTTGAACTTAAAATTTAAAATGTAGAGAATTAGGTAATTTTTCCTTCTTTTTTGTTTTTGTTTTTGTTTTTTTTCCTCTTTTGGAACAATTCACATTTAAAGTAGTTAGAAGATACCATCTCAAAAATAACAAACATATTTTAAACTTTCAAAAATCGAGTCATAATTAAATTTTATTAATTAAAATAGATAATCAAATATATTTTGTTAATTAAATATATTATGGACATAATACTTTACAATTTATGATTACAGTTACTTAATAGTCACAAATCACAAATATCATAGTTTACAATTATTCACTGGTTAAAAATTATCTAATTAATTAGTCATGCATTATCTCTCTGCCACAAATCACAGATTATGTCTCATAAATTATTTATCAATTACAAATTATCAAATAAATAGGTCACATATTATTTTTTGATCACAAATAAAGAATTTTATAGTCCACAACTTCTTTTACGACCATAAATAATTAACTTAATTGGTCACAACTTAACAAATTGTCAATCATAATTACATATTTAGTCACAGTCTCACATTTATAGTTCACATTTTATTAGTTTTCACAAATAATCTATTTTATTGGTCACAATCATCCAAATATTTGGTTACAATCACTATTTATCCCACTCACAACCACCATTTGCAAATTGACCCCCTAATCTAAAATTACAAGCAAGGACCTATAATTTCACAAATTGCATTAGAGGCCTCCAACCCCAAACTCGGTCAAACCCTAATTATTCCACCTTTTCTCTACAGTGTCGACACTGCCCATCTTAGGTGTATCATTGATCAATGCTACTATTGTAGCAACAACAATGTCGTCATGCTGTCATTTGAGGCAACCCCAACTTTTTCGCAACAACTATGAAGAATTGTGTCTCAATGCTATCGTTCACAGCAGCACCAGGCTACTCACTGATGATCGGTGATGTGATCTCTCGATGGTAGACAATGGTCTTTTGTGTGATAAAGCGAAAGAGAAGAGGGAAGGAAGATGATAGAGAGAAGGGGGAAGTGATTTAGGGTTTGGGAGTGAAATTGGAAGGGTGGTTATAAAGATTAATTTAATTTAATAATAATATTATTAAAATTAAAAAGTTGAGTTTTCACCTGATTTTTGAATAAAATAAAACTTTTAAACTTGATTTTGTATTGAAAAATTAAAATTTATGTGCGCGTGTAATTTCTACTTTTGGGAAAACTTCATATCCAAGAGATTAAGTATAGTTCAATTCAAAACTAAGAAACAATGTTTCAAATTTCAAAAACCAAATATTAATTAATTTTTATTTATGAAATAATCTATTAAAAATATATTTTATTAATTCAATATATTAAAGTCACAATTATATACTATTTTGTCACAAATCATCCAATTAACTGGTGACAAATTATTTCTCGGTCACGGATCAAAAACTTTAGAGGTCACAAATTATTTCATGGTGGAAAATCATAAATTTTTTAAGTCACAATTTATTCATCGATCACAAATCAAAAAAAATTATAAGTTACAATTTATTTATCGGTAACAAATCACAAATTTTTAGATCATATATTATTTATTGGTTATAATTTATCGATCACATATTATTTATTGATAGCAAATTAACCAATTTATTAGTCACAATCAATCAAATAATTGATCATAAACACCCCGATCCCAATGAGCCATCCCACTCACAACCATCACACCACCGCTTCATCTACCACCACCACCATGTCAATATGTACCACCAATAACACCAATATATAGAAATCACCACCACCACTCCAACAACCAAAATCAAAACCAACACCTCACTGCAAATCCACCAACCACCTATAGCACTACTTTCACTACTTGCACCAACACCATTGCACATCACCAAAACCTCGATTGAGTAGATTAGAGGGAAAAACCAACTCAAAACTCCAAAATTGTCGCCGTTGTACTCCACCCGTACCACCACCGCAAACACCACCACCATCACTGCACAACCCCAAAACTCCGACTAATCAGGTTGGAGAAATAAACCAACCCAAAATGTACATATCACCGCAGCACCCCACCTCAACCGCCACCACTAGCATCATTGCACACACATCACACATATCACCACAACATAGATCCGCACACACCACGGCATGCACATATCACTATTGCAGACCATGTACCACCGCAAACCATAGATCAACACACCGCCCAGCACAAATTATCGCATCACCGCACGTTGGAGGAGGACATTAAATGGGAGATTAGTATTTCGAAGGACATCGACGACGTCACAGCAAATAGGGTAGTAACCGGCTGCGATGGAGGCGACGACGTTCATATATGAGTGATAGGGTAGAGAGAGGAGGGAGATAGAGAGGGAGAGGAAGAAAGAGAAAATGATTTTGGGGTTTGAATGGATTACGGTATGAATATATAAATTAATTTATAATATTAAAATTTCAATTATCTGATTTTTGAAAAAAATAAATTGTAAAATTTAATTTCGAATTGGAAAGTTTAAAACACTTGTTGTATGTAATTTCCACTTTTAATTATTGGATTGTTGTTATCTTATCTTTTTTTATTGGACCGCTGCCTTGTTAGATTATTTTTAAATTGGATTGTTTTTCCTTTTTAGCTCATTATTGAATAACTTTTATTGTTATTTCGTTATCGGCTTAATGTTGGATTGTCCTCTCTCTATCTCTTCCTCTCTTAACTTTTTATGTTTTTAGTATTTTCAAATGGAAGGTCAAACTAGTGAAAGTACATTTCATAATCAATTGACCCAAGATTAACCTAAAATTTTGACATTGCAACTTCCTCCAATTTCATCTTTAGAAATTGGACATCTGTCATCTAAACTCTTGAATTGCAACCATGGTACTAGTATTGAACGGGATCGTGTCAATCTATGAAATGATATTAGAATCACATATGCAAAAGTTAGGCTTTATAAACGAAAATTTAAAAAGTAACCCTAGATAAAGGAAAAAAAAAACCAAGTTTATTGCTTTCAGATAAATTGGTTCATTGAATTCTGTGGGTTGAAGTATGATCATTCAACTGAAAGGACATATTGTTTTTACTGATTTCTTTTTCAGACAGATGGTAATTCATCCAAAAGCTCATGATTTGTTGATGATGGATATAACAATTGAAAGAGGGTTAAAAATAAAAATAAATGTGCATTTTTTGTTCATGCTAGTTCATCACATCATAAGACATGTGAGACAAAAGCTAAAAAATTATTGAGACCGGTTCAACATAAATTTTATCACATTAACTTTCTTAAGTTTCAATCGCTCGTTAACCAAAATAGTTATTCCGTCCCTGATAACATGGGCAAATCTTCATTGCCGATCATCCGTATAACAGCATCCCTATAGAAACAATTGCACCAAGCAAAGCACAACATAAACAAATACAGAAAGACTAATATTAAATACAAACAATAATGACTAGAATTTGGCAACAGATGCTCTCATTGATCACTAACTTTATAAGAGCTTCATCCTCTTCCTCCTAATTTCCAGTTTTTGTTTTTGAATTTCGGTCAGAATTTTGAAAAATCCTAAATTGCCTTTACCCTAAATTGAAAGAGAGAAATTTGCAACGTGAAATGAAAATCGCCATACTGTAAGGAGAATTATCATTGTGTCATTATGTAAATTTCCTTACCATTTTCTTAGAACATAAATTTTAGTTTTAGTCCCCAAAAGAGGTATTTAGCGTAATTTCTATTAATTTTCAATTAACTTGGAGTAATGTTAAAAATATTCGGCAATATTTTAAAATTATGATGGCATACTTTAAAGAATAATATTTTACATTGATTAAATTCAACTATGATAGCATTAAAAATATTCTAATGTTACAATGAAAAAGATCTTAATAGTAAATTTTCCGTTTATTCACTATATAGGAATAGGTGGCAATAAATTGTATACGAAAAAATAGTTTATTTTCTTTTCAACTTCTTCTCAACAAACCGCTCCATGAAAACTATGTGACACCAAATATCTTGAAATTTGAAATATTTTAGTTATTTTGCACCTGAGTCATCTAGTTTGCAAACATTTTTAATAACTAGTGGGATGAACATGTGTTGCATGTTAGTTGATTAATTAATGTTAGAAATAAGTGCTTGTAAATTTTCGAGAAGTCATTTGTAAATGTGAAAAACATTTTGAAACTGGTTTTAAAAAAAAAAATGAACATCTTGTTTAGAAAGAATAAAGTTCATCTTTTGTTAGTGAGTGATTCATCTACATTAATGAAATATTGTTATTAGACAATATTTTGTATGAAGATTAAACTTGATGTTTGTGTGTTCAAATTATGACTTTGTTTTGTTTGTTAGTTTGGACTTTTTTGAATGACTTTTTTTACAAAATATTTCATTTGACGATTGATAATTTGAGGTTGAATTTGTTTGATGTTTATTTTTTAGATTTGGACATATGTTACTAATTTATGAATATAGTGATAGATTTTAATGTGCACTTATCATATGAAAATTTAAGTTATAGAATTAGAATTAAATCAAATCAAAATTAAATGGTTCGGTTTTGGTTTGATTTCATATCTTTTAAAAAAAAATCATTGGTTCCATTATTAAAAAATTATTGGGTTAAGGTTTGATTCGGTTCGCTTGGATCCATAATTAAATGGAATCCTGTCAATCTCTAATGACGAAATTAATACACAAAATTCCCAAAAAATTAAGTATGCATTCCATTTGATCAAACTCTAAAATTAAGTATGCATTCTATATTCAGTTATAATTTATGAATATAACTTATTTTACACTTAAAACTAGTGTTCTCCAAAATATAAAAGTGCTGCAAGATAATGAGATCAAGTTTAAAGTTTAAGCTGATGCAAGTGAAATTTATGTATTAAAAAAATACAAAGTATGATAAGACAACAATATCAAACTTCATTGAAATTTAGATGAGCTTTTCAGAATAATGATTGATATAATAATAAAAATTTACACTCGCACCATTTTTATATATTTTCTAAGAAAATCTCTTTTCTACCAAAATTTCTTTATTAAGTCAATAAATCAAAATTAACCTAAAATAAGGGCCAAATTAGTTTAGCCAAAAATCAAATTTTTAGTAGATTTTGATAAAAATAGATAAAACATGATCACCCAACTTCTTTTCATCTTTTTTTGCTAATTTTTAAAATCGTAAAATGGTAATATATATATATATATATATATAAACGTTTTTGTTAAACTAAATTTTATTTTATTTTGAAAACCCTTTTTTTAAAATAACTTTTTATTATATTTTATTTTTCTAAGTAACGTTTTTATTTTAAATAAGCTTTTATTTTATTTTAAAAATATTTTTTTAAAATAAGTTTTATTTTGTTTTAAAAAAGTTGTTTTTTGAACATAAGTTTTCATTTTATTTTTTAAGTAACATTTTTTAAGTAAGTTTTTATTTTAATTTTTAAATGTATTTTATATATAATGTGAAGTTACCATTTTACCCATTTTAAAATTAGTAAAAATGATGAAAAAAAGTTGGGGGATCATGATGAAACGTAATATGAATTTGGGCGATTATACCGACATTAAGTATAAAGTTAGATTGTCATGATGAAACAAAATCAAATTAAAAGATACACAATTATAAAATTGGGTGGTGGTTGGTGAATTTAACCCTATATTTATACTTAACCCTAATCCGACCTTACTCTACCCACTCCGACTCCGCTATCATTTCGTGGCTTCATCCCCCTCCATTAAGCACATGCACAGATGCACCCTACCATTTCCATTCTTTTTCTAACTATCTTCTTCTCTCTATATATATACGTAGACGTGATAATGAGGTTCGAGAAAATCCCATCAATATTTCTAATATTTTTTTCACTACAATTCCCAACCTAAAGATCTTGATTCATTCCACCAATGATAAAGCACTTTAATCATGTTCTGCACTTTTGTTTTATTCTTTCTAAGTCTAGAAACATATACTCAAATACATTGATTTATAGTCAAAACAAAATAAAAATATTATCTTGAAACCAAATAATTACTCAAGAGAGATTAAATTTTTAGCACTAAAATATACGAAATATAAATAATATATAAAATGCTAAACGGGAAAAATTCTAGCTATTTATTCACATTAAAAAAAAAGTCAAATTTTCAACTTCCTGTAAACAAAATTCCATTTAGAATAAGAGAGTGTAATGCAAAAATAAAAGAGAGAGAAATGAGGTCACAAGCAAGACAACAACTCTCCAGATCTATGGCGGCTGGCATAGAGAGAAAGGGTGAAAATTGAATTTGTCCTAAACGACTTAAATCTCGTCTCTTAACCAAATATGATTAAAATGGATATTTGGATACTATCTATTTAAAAATAATAATAAGGAGCCTAAAACAAGAGCCGATTAAAAATTAAATAAATAAGACACAAGGAGCAGCATCTCCCATTTTTATTTTTATTTTTTTGTTTAAAAAAAATGTTTTTATTCTCTACGCTCATTGCACATAAACAACATTATAAACTCTTTTTCTTTCTTAACACTATCCATCCAATCTACCTCACAAAAGATGTACAAAATTTCCACCAACTTTTCCTAAAACACAAATGAAATATGCAAAAAAAGAAAAAAAAGAAAAAAAAGGGAGATATTAAATTTAAAATGAAGTGGGAAAAGAGCACATACCTGCTATCCGACTAATTACTCCAAAGTCTAGTTACCCCCTTTCTCCTTATCCCGTCTAATAATCATTATTCCTAAGTTTTGCCCTTCTATATCTTTTTAATACAAAATTGCAAGTGTCAAATTTACAAGCTTTTCATTTCTAAGAGAAATTAATTTCAATAATATAGTCTTACAAAATTATCTTAGAAGCTAATTGACCATTATCTAGAAGGTATTTTCGAACAAAATAATACCATGCCTGTTTACATAAACGATAATCAAATGAAAACTTAAGAAAAATGATGATTAATTCAAAAGAACAAGAAATCAAAAAAATATACATACATACAAATTAGAGAGATTCATGATGATATGTGACCATGGAATTGCTCATCTTGAATTGGTATAAAACAGTCTATGAAGGAGTTTGGTCGCAGTTATTGCAATTTTGGTCAAAATTGGAGAAATAATAACAAACTAAACCTTGTTTCTACGAACTTTTTAGAAGAAAGAGAGAGAAAATTGAAAAATCAATTTACAGTAAGAAAGAGACAAGAGGTGAGGTTATGGCAGTGGGGCTGGCGAATTTCGTGCAAAAATGGATAAATATAGGATGGTTGCGTGAAGCAAAAAAGAAAGGGAAAAAATTTCCGTACAAGACGATGCATATGCGCTACACGTGTCCAGCCTTTACTTCACTCTTTTATATATGTATGACAGTTGACAAATCAATTGTCATTATGTAGCTTTATGCGATATTGTTTCATTTGACTGAAAAATGTTGTGTAGTGAAATGTGCATATCAAAGATGACTCGATATCAATATCATAGCTTTCACCCTTACCACGGATAATGTAAATGTCACCTTATATAATTTAGTTACATTATTGATAGAAACAAAATACGGCTCAGTCAAAAGTACAAATATTGACAGAGAGTATGTTAAATAGCCCCCATGACAGAAAGAGAAGAACTGAATGAGAGAGCATTTTATTGATCTCTAGGCAATCTAATAAAGAGAAAATGATTAACAAAAGAGCACAATAAAATTGTAGAATTGACAACAGAAAATATTTACAATGAAATTGTTTGTTAAAATATATTATTTCTAATTTAGAGTTAAGGAGTTCCACTGAAATTAACAATTATTTGGAAGGAACTTTTCTTGATACATACTTGATTGATTTGTTCATGAGATCCATAAATTGGAATTATTCATACTTTATATTTCTAATTTCACATAATTTATAATTAACGAGCCCAAAATTTTGTGCCTTCTGCAAAATCCAAATGCATTATCTCTTGCAGTAATTATCCCAACATCTTTCTACTTGTTTATCAAAAAATATATCTAAATAACTAAGTTGATATTGCCCAAAATGCACTCAGAGTTGGAAAATTAGTAAAACCCTCGCTCGTGCGAGCATTTGGCTTGTACACGAGCGAGTGTACGCAAAGCTTAAATAGGACACCTGACCATTTGAAGATAAATGCTAAGATATCCCATGTTGCTATTTCGATTCGATAGGTTTTTCAATAATATATTATATACGTGGTAGAAGTCCATTTTTGATATCTTGACACTCTAGAATATCCATGTGTCCCATGCTCACGACCTTCTTCTTTGCACTCTTTCATTGCAAACATTTATCTTAAAAGAGCAACGTTATTTAGCACCGTTGATATTTTAACACCAGTGTAGATGGCACTAATGTGACATTAAATTAGAAGTATAATTATAGAACAATGTTATTCATAATCGTGACTAAGTCGTCCTACGTAGCATCCAACTTTTGATTATTTCATTATTAACTAGTCTGCGTCTCGTGCGTTGCACGAATTTTGTATTTATTTTGGTTTTATTAGCATAGAATTTATAGATTGTACAAAAAGTATTTGGAAATAAGAAATGTTTGTTTGATTCTCATCTTTTGGTCAACTGTATATTTTATGTCACGATAATTTATTTTTATTCTTATAAATAAGTATAATGAATGTTGTGATTGTATATATGTCAACGATAATTTATTTTTAATTATTTTTTGTATTTTTTGTTTAATGTAGATGAAGTTTTTTTATCTGATATTGTAAATAAGTTGTAAATTGAATTTCGCAAAATGCTTTTCTTTAGCAACTTCTATTCGAGAGGCTATACTTGTAGTTCAAAAATAATCCATGCAGTTGTAAATTGAAAGAAAATATCCACATACACAAATATTTAAATAACAAACTCAGGTTTGCACGTAAAATAACTTGAAGTGGCACTTACTGAATGTCCAACTCCCTTATTGGTGTAAGAATTAGAACCCTAATAGCAGGCCTATTCTTCGGATGATACAACAGTCACTCCAAGGTTGGTAGGGCAAAAGAATTTTAAATAAATTTTATTTGAAAAAGAAAAGAATTAAAAAGAAATTTAAATAAATTGATAAAAAAACCAATTATTTATAAAGTAAAATTTTCAATTTTAATTAAATAATATTTATATATTCTTCATTTAATTTTCATAACTTTATTTTATTTTTTACTTCTAAATAATTTTAAACGAATTTTTTTACTTATATAAATAATTTTTACATAAATTAGAAATATTTTTTGTTAATATGTTTATTTTTACATTTTTTTTTACTAAAAGTGATTTTTTTTTTTTTTTTTTACTTATAAAAGTGGTCAACACGGAGTAATGCGGGAAGGTATGGAAAGTTGCATGTTACATAGATTCACATTGTCTCTCTTACACTATATATATAATATAATAATATAAGCAAATGAGTTGATTTGAAAAGGCGTGCCATAGCGTATGGAAATGGAGAATGGAAAAGTACAAAAAAAAAAAAATTTGAATAATCCTCCGTGCACGGAAACCACACTATATATAATTTTTTTTAATTCTTTTGTCTTCAATTTTTTTAACATAAAATTAACTTTTCCGTTAAAATTGAAAAATTAAGTTTTATTTGGAAGATAAAAGAATTAAAAAGAAAAAAATAATTGATTTTTTTTAAGAAAAAAGTGCATTTTTAACACATACATTTAATCTCGATTTAACTATTTTCGATATTTATTTAGATCATCTGATATCTATACGATATAGTTCTCAAAATGAGTTTCGAGAGAATGTAAAACATTTATCGATTCGACTATCGTACAATGGTCGACGAATTTTTAAAGTTAGTTTGTTATCAAAAATTTCGAAATAGTAATAAAATAATTGATTTTTTTAAGAAAAACGACTTATGCGTATTTTTTAACACATACATTTAATATCCGTTTAACTATTTTTTATATCTATTTAGATCATTCGATGTCTCAACGATATAATTCTCAAAATGAGTTTCGAGAGAATGTAAAACATTTATCGATTCAACTATCGTACAATCGTCGATAAATTTTTAAAGTTAGCTTATTATCGAAAATTTCAAAATATAGTTTGAAAATGCCTACTTTGACGTCCCATAACATTTGCTATGATTGACCGTTTCACGCACCGTTAATGACGTGCAATACTATGTCGCGAGTACTTCAAAACGATATTAAGAATGTAATATTTTGACTTCGTTTGATTTCCCGTAATGATCGTGAAAATGAACACAAAAACATAAGTAAAATAAATAAATAAATAAATAATAAATTTTCATTTCTCTCATGGTCTCCGTGGTCTCCTAGCACAGATCCTCTTATTATTATTATTTTTTTTAAATAAAAGCCAATACTTCTTTATACTATATAAACTAACTACAAGTTTTAATTTTTTTTTTTTAACAACTTGAAGCAAACTTTTTACTATGTAAAGAAATATACTTAAAACATTGAGTTGATATTTAATCTAACGTAATATTTAGATAAATTTAATTTAAAAAATTCAATATTACTAAAAATATTACTATAAAATTAAATATTGTCTGAAATTATTATATATATCCAACTAAGATGATATAGTTTTTTTTTTGTTTTATATATCTATAATAATGTTAAAATATATATATATATAATCGTTCGCCCTTTCTAAGCCAGCTTTATGACCTCTTTTGATCGTCATACGCATGTTGAAGGCATAACGGATGGTCGTGGACGGTCTAATCGTTATTATTAGCCAAAACGATATAATTACCGTTGTAATGTGATTTGTATTGAAATGATTTCAAACTCGTCAAATTTGTACTAAACGATTTGAATGTCATATATATATATATATATATTATTTTGTTAAAATTAAAAAATTAAGTTCTATTTAAAAGAGAAAAGAATAAAAAGAAATTTAAATAAATTGATAAAAAGAACAATTACTTATAATATATAAAAAAAATAATTATAAACTTTGTCTCCATGCATGGAAGCATGGAGAGTTTCCATGCACGGAGATAGACTGGAAATATTTTGCCTTCGTGCACGGAGGTTTCAGTTTATTTTTTTTCCCCCTCCGTGCACGAAGACACTGTTTCCGTGCACGGAGAGATTACTTCTTCTACTTCTTTTTTTTATTTTATTTTATACTGTGTAGTTTTACGTTATAACTTTTTTTTTTCAATTTAAAATTCTTTTTAATTCTTTTCTCTTCAAATTTTTTACTTACAAGTAATATGTTGTAAAAAAAAAATTCTGTCGCATATTATTTCTATCTCTTTTTTTTTAATATAAAAGTGATATTTTTCTTATATCCTTACTATATATATCTATATCGGAGTGGGGGAGGAATGGAAATTGTGTGTTGCGACAAATTTGGAGATAGCGTACAATAAAATAAAATATATATCAAGCAAACGGCGTCGTTTTTGGCCCCCAATTGAAAAAAAAATAAAAATAAAAAAACTACAGTAAAGATGGATCAAGACACTGTTGCTTTCTACAGTGTCCTCACATTCCCATTTTTTATATAGTAGGGATATGGAAATCTATTTAATTGTTTCCCTTTTCTTAATTATTAAAATCATGACATGCCACGTGAAAAGACTACGGAGCGAGGGCTACTAAATAAAATTACGTCTGAATATCTCATGTTCTGTGTGCATCCAAAATATATTTCTGTTTTTTTCTTACTGCATTGTACCTAAAACAAAGGTCTGAAATTTGAGAATCCAAATTGCATGTATTGTTGAGGAATCACACCACAAAAGATATCTCTTTATTTTTAGAGGGGGCACAAATTTAACCTACCCAAGTGTCGATTGCAGTTACCCTCAAATTTTCATCAAAGAATTGAATCCGATTTAATGACACCAAAGAAACCAGTGCTAAAGACTTTTTTGAGGATAAGAAGACTATTTGTATCTCGAATGCATGAATTTTTTGTAGATTACAAGCTATGGTCATGCGTGAAAATTGTATTTCTTCAGGGAGAATCTAACAATTCTCATCGTGACACAGACAAATCTTGCTATTTTTTCGCCAGGAAAGAATTGAAATATTATTTACGAATGAATGAGGACATAGTTAAACGCTATTTTTGGTTCCATTAATACACTGCAAAGCTTTCCAAATGTTATCCGAATAACAGTGGCTGACTAAACACTCTACAGATAAGATTGAGCTTCAGACGAGTAAAATCGATCACAGCTCCAACGTATCTTATCAATGGTTCGCAAATTTTATTCTCTATGGTTTCTTTTTACAGTATGGAGTAAGCTCTAATCACCTCAATAATGGGTGCACGACACACAGAGCCGGTCCTTCGTCTAATGGGCCCTGAGCCGAACAATGAAAAGTAGGCCCCCCAGCAACAAAATTCAAAGGTGTATTATGCGACTCATTGCTAACTTAAAAAACTAATATTAAAACAACAACGAAATATATCATAGAAACGATTTATATTATAAACCATCAAACCAAAAATTTCAAACAATTAGTTAAATACTATTCGTCTTGCTGTTTTAGAGGCAAAACATCAATCAAATCTGAATAATTTAACTGCTCAACCATTTCTTTTTCTATTGATAACATAGCCAATCCGTTTAATCTTTCTTACGACATAGTTGATCGGAGATAGGTCTTGATCAACTTTAATTTTGAGAAACTTCTTTCCGCAGATACAACTGTAACCGGTATGGTTAACAAAATTTGGTAAGCAGTATAAGCATTTGGAAAACAAACATCCAATGTCTTCAAATATTGTAGCACTTCAATTGCTCTTATTGCTTCACTTGGTATATAACATCTCAAGACTTGTAACTCCGAACATAAATCATCTCCACTAATATCCGAACGCCCATTATGTTGAAGATATTTTTCAAGATTCAAACAAGATTTCAACAAACTTGAAAAAAGGTTGCATCCCTTAACCTCTTCAAACTAAACAAAAATCCAAATGTGTCATCATATTGTTTGAATTGTTCAAATCGAGTCCTCATAGAAGATAGAGCTTGATCAATTATAAAAATAAAGTACTCAACTCTAAAAGATTCTTCTGCTGATTGTTTTACCTCATCACTACCGCTTTCATCAAATTATTTTTTTTTTCGAATTATGCGTTTTTCTGTAAATACAGCTTCAATTCCCATTTCGCTTGCCTTTTTTGTCGCTTCATCTTTGGCAATAGCAAATCCAATTTCTCTATATTCTTCAAGAAATGAAACAAGCCCTTGCAAGAGGTCGATAGCATGATCAATATCCATGGATTCGGTTTGAAGAAATTTACTCACAATATTGGCAGCATGCAACAATCTGTACCAGATTATCATGCCAAACAAAAACTCAAAATTTTGAAGTTCATGTGTTGCTAATGACTCGGCTTCACTAGATTTAGACTATGAGCGCCACATGGAGTATAGAAAGCTCGGGGATTCATTTCATGGACTCTTCTTTGCACACCTTTGTGCTTCCCGCTCATGTTAGATCCGTTGTCATACCCTTGCCCTCTAATGTCATCAATATCGAGATCAATTTTTATCAAAGCCTTTTGAAGCTCGGTTGCAAGTCCAAGTCCTGTTGTGTCATCTACCTTCAAAAATTCTAGCCAATGTTCTTGAATTGTAGGTAAGTTTGCCGAATTATCTACAAATCGTACAATTAAAGAAATTTGCTCCTCCTGACTTGCATCTGGAGTACAATCAAGTATAACTGTGAAATATTTTGCATCTTTAACTTTCTTGACAATTGAACTTCTCACTTGATTAGCCAACAACTGTATCAACTCATTTTGAATTCTTTTGCCAAGATACGTATATTTAATCTCTTGAATTTTTTTGCCAAGATATGTATATTGAATCTCTTTTGCTTTAGCCCGCCGAAGGTGCTCTTGCATTACTAGATCAAATTCACTAACCATTTCGACCATTTGTAAAAATAGGCCATTGTTCTCAACATGTAGCCTCTCATCATCTCCTCGAAATGGCAATGTGTTTTTCGCAAGTCTTTTAACAATAGCGATTATCCTTTTTAATAGATGTCTCCAATGTTCTCTTTCAGCATCAATCAACAATTCAATTCTTTTATCAATTGTAGTTTTTGATCGAAACCTATTTTCCAATTCAATCCAACTAGTCATGCAACGTAAATGCTCCTCATTTCCTTCATGACTTTTAACAGACCGATGCAAATTATGCCAATCTTTGAATCCTTCATTACCTAGTTAGCCAAATTTTGTCACATTTATTGGTGTTTTGAACAACTTTCAACAAAAGCAGAAGATCCTGTCCATAGACACTGAATATACTAGCCATCTTCTATCAACTGTTTTCCCATTTGGTAGCAATCGCTTATATTGTGAAGAATCGAAATGTCTATTTGAATAGTCTTTCGGAAATAAGATGTCATCAACTCTTTTTGGACCTCTTTCAACTAAGTAATCCCTTGTTCTTTGATCAATAATTTTCCAATTCCCGAGATCATCCAAATTTAGAGAAAAGCAACCCTCTTCTTCCTTATCATCTTCTTCATTATTAGAGGCGGGCTTCATTACTTCTTCTTCCTTATCATCTACTTCGTTAACATCGGTAGGTTGACTCACTTCTTCATCCTTATTATCTACTTCATTAACATGGGCATGTTGAATCTCTACTTCATCCTCATTCAACACATTCACATTGTTGCTTTTGAAGTAATTGTTAATATCCCCTGCTTCACTTTGAATTCATGCAATTTCATTTCGTTTCCTTTTCCTCTTTTGAGCACCAGACTCATGTTTAGGAGGCATAGTCTAGGAGTGAATATCTAATATCCAATAATTAACCTAAAAAACAATTACACAATATCTCAATCATCTCACAATTATAGTTTCAAATATAGTTACTACGTGCGCCTGTGCAATTGTTTATCGTACAATAAGCAATCATATAAGCGACCAGGCTGAAATTATATAAGCCGACATGGCTTCAAACATTTCCAATATCTTCAATAACAAGTCAGGGCAAGCCATTACTTACTTGAGAAGTGGAATTTTGATGAAAATTGTGGAATTACACCGTTGAGAATGATCCCATTTTCTGAATTAGGAGTAAGCAGATCGCAATTTTAAAAATTTTAATAATAGCTACAAGTGCATTCACAATGGCTCCTACAAATTGAGATAGAGAAATCTCTTAGAATCAACTAAAATTAAGGGGGTAAAATTAAGAAAAAAGAAAGCAAGACAATTAAAACACCATAATCCGCATTCTATAGACATCAAAGTTGTTCTGCCATCTGATTAAATGAAGGATCTTTTGCTATCTATTAAGCTAATTCCTTGATGCTTGGATCCTGTACAGGCACAGAGTAAAGAATTTAAGAAAATAAATGACCTGCAAGTGCTGCAAAGAGAACCATTTACTATGTATGCTAGTAATGTCACTCTCACACATACACGAATATTTTGTCACATTATATACCACATACTTTTTGTTTTTCAGCTTCATCTATTTCTCCGTTTCATTAGTGAAATAATATAAGTTAAAGCAAAACATTCATCAGGAAAAAAAAATTTGAATCCCATAGCGAAATAGCCCTTTGTCAGAATGGGAAAAGCATATCAACATGCAAATAACAGATCATGCGAATAGGAAAAAGAATGATACTTTTTTTTTTGCATCAACAAATTGCAAAAATGGTCATTAGATTTCATTTTTCCTAATGGGTTGAACAAAGTACAGCCAACATATTATTCAACAAAAAACATACATTTTTCATGCCTCAAATTTAGGAAGTCATTTCTTTCCAAGCCCATATAGAGTTGACAAGAACTTGAATCACAAAACAAAAATATAAAAATGAAAATTTTCATAAAGACGACGACGTCGACGAGTAAGATTCTAGTATTCTACAAAGAAATGCTTGTCGGCAAAGTAAAGAACAAAAATTACAAAATCGATTATTGATTTGGGAAATTGAAAACAAAACAGTATTCAAAGCATAAACATTTACATACACGAAATCATCAAATTAACAAAAGGCAGCCATAAAATCACCAAAATAAAGCAAAATATCATTAACAACTAACAAAAGCAAGCACTAAAAATTGATTATTTGAATCGTGCAATCAAAAATATACCATAAAATTATATTTGATATACTAGATGGAATTACGTTTATACATTTTAGTTGCTGAAACGTGCACAGTAATCTGTAATCATAGTGCGTGATTTTTCCACATAACTAAAGTATATTAAACTCTTGCAGGTGGCTGAACTTTGAAGACCCTTTAATCAATAGTCAATAGACATTCATAGACTACAATGGAGGGCAAGAATCTTTTGTATAATAGTATCCAGCAGAAGGGTCTAACCGTCTAAGTGAGGACAAGAGCGAACTGCGAAGTAGGAGGAACTCAATGACAAGATTCAAGAAGCTACCTGGGCGGACTGGCGAAGCCGCGGAGGTGGACAGTGGACTGTGGTGAGACGTCGAGTGACCGGACGGCGCGACGAATAGGCCTTAGCACCGGACTGGAGGGTTATTTCTCTGTTGTTCTTTCTGGAGGTACCCTTAGCACAGGACCGGAACACCGAGCACGTCAACGTCGAGACTCAAGAGGAGCAGACGAGCAGTTGGAGTTGCAGCCCTAAATCGTCTCTTTCATATTTCAAATTTGGGAATTTGGGTAAATGGGTTGTAAAATTGGATTTGGGTATATGAGTTGGGTTGAAATTTTAGGGTAAATGGATTGTGGGTTGTTGGGTAATGAGTTCTGGGCCGGATCATATTATTCAAAAAAAAAGTTTGGAGGCAAAAATGGGCCCCTTAATGGTCATGGGCCTGAGGCGCGGGCCTCACTGGCCTCGGCCCAGGACCGGGCCTGACGACACAATGGACACTTTCCTCCTCTGCGAACCAACTCGTTTGCACATTTAGAACAAGTGCACATATGCCCACATCTGCAAATCAGAGAGACATATGTAAGGTGGCCGCAAAAATTAAATTTACCCCAACTCAAAAACAACTGTTGTGACATAAAACAGTCTGCAACTCTCCATATGGTGTCGATTTAACATAGAAAGTTCATATAAAGCCTTTTTCACCACCGTTGGACTCCCATTAAGCCAAGAAAGGTGACACGACCCGTCCCGAATCACCCTAGTGGACCCGAAACTTGACGTGCGTCGATGATAGATGCTGACTAAATGTCAAATCTATCAACAAGGCTGACTATGAGTTATTTCAAAAATGCAACAAAATCAAATACTTATGTCAAACATAATGCGATGGACCCAAATTATTTACTTTGTATTTTTAAAAATAAGTTATAACACTCAACATGTCGTGTGGCTCGCATTCCGAAATCATTAGGCTCTTCTACCTAAAAAGAATCAGTTTCCACCTGTAGGAAAATTACGAAAAAATATATGAGTTGATAGTTCAGTGAGTGGAGATATTCGAAAATAATTATGCTTTTTCATTTCTATATATTTATCGAAAATCGAGTTCATATCATTGATAACTCGTAAGATATCATATAATTATAGCCAAAACGTGAGACGTTCACATAACGTGGTAAAATATCATCTCAAGTCATGATATAAACATAAGCTGGTAATCATGCTATAATCTCATCACGTCAAATGTACTGAAAAATCTACCAAAACTGTACCGTTTGACTAAAATTTGTAATCCGCCCCTCGGGTTAGGAACTTTCACCACGGGCCTTTGGTCCCTCCGTGAACGAAGGCTGGTCTCAAGACCTCTGATAATCAATTCTAGAACACGGTCAAGGCCCCTTAGTGAACTATATGTACACAGTCACGACTCCTTCATCCCCAGTCGACCCCTCAGTTTAGTATAGAACACGGTCAATGCCCTTCTATGAACTAGAAGAAGTATATAATCACGGGTACTTTTGTGGTCGATCTCAATATCACGTCTCACATACCAAACAAATTTCAATATCACATGTCTCATATACCAATTCACAAATGTACAATAAATAATCCTTGAAATTCCACATGTATCATAATAAAAGAGATTTCCATAATAATCATATAATCGAACACGTAATTGTAAATATTTTGATAATATACTTAATTTATAAATACTTTAAAAATATTTATATTTTTTCACTCACAGAACTATGTACGTCAAAATAACTCGATTGGTAAGCTGTCCCGATATTTGTATCGCCGCCTGAAATATGATATAATTTTTAAATCAATAATTAATTAGTTTAAGTAATATCAATAATTAAATAGGCGATACCCAAACTTAATCATTTCACATTTAGGCAATTTCTACAGTCTCTTTAATAACTAAAACTAGTTTTTTTTTCACTTTACTTAATTTCATAGTTTATTATACTTAACCCCTTCAATAAAATTGAATTTAGTCTAAAAATTTAACAACTATAAAATTAAATATAACTTGACAATAAGTAACTTTTTACTTACCTTTTAAAATTGAGAAATCCAAGCCTAATAGCATAACCCACTTAATTCCTAACATGTTGATGAATTTTCCCTTTTTTCTCTCTTATTTTTCTTTCTTTTTTTTTTTCTTCCTTTTTCCTTTCTCTTTTCTCTTCCTGTTTCTCTCTGGTTTGTATTCTTTTGAGTGTGTGTTTTATTATGGATGTGGATTGTGTGTGTATATATTTAAATGGAATGGATTTGTTCCACTGCCTGCCGTTTTCTTTCTCTCTTTCTTCTTAATATTTTTTTTGGTTTGACTTTTCTTTTAATTAATTAAAAAGTTACAAAACTTACCCCCTTAAAAGAATTTCGTCCTCGAAATTCAATCAACTAAGTACCAAAAGTTGGAGATATTGAAAATGCATTTGATCTTCACTTTCCTATGTTGGCTCTTCTATTGTGTGATTCACCCATAAGACTTTAAGTCTCACATTAGTTTTGATATATGTGGTGC